GGTCAGGCACGAGGTATTTGCCCCATTTAAGTCTTGCTGAAATCCTATTTTGAATACTTAAGCGTGTTGTACGTGGCACGTAAAGCTGCGCTGCCTCTGCACTGGATTGAGCTCCTGTGGCTCCAGGGGAGCTCAGGGTTGGTGTTTGCTTCACATGGAGCTCAGAGCTCAGCACAGCACCTCCCTCACCTGTCAGCTGTACAGAAACACCTGGGGACAGGGTGGCTCTGGGGTGTTCTCTGTGAGCAGAGACTGCTTGGCAGCTTGCACTAAGCACTGCCTTTTCTGTCGTGTCTTTGCATCACATTTCAGTTGAGTTTTTAATAGCTTTTTGGAACTTCCTAGGAGGATCCCAGAGGCAAAAAACTAAAAAAAAACAGGAGAATTCTTACGGTGTGTGCTCTGCCAAAGGAGCCTGGCTGTTCTGTTAACAAGATCACTTCCCCTGTTACATGAATTATTGTTGTTTTTAATTAGAAGTAATGCTGTAGTTCGAATGTACAGCACAATGGGGTATAAAATGCAGTTCAGCACAGATACCAAAGCTGGTTTTTCCAATTATAAACCTATTTAGAAGGTGGATACACTAGAAATGATGGAATGCCAGACTGCAGATGAGGTGAGCAGGCTGGGATACACGTGCACCCCTGCACACGCTGTCCTACGAGAGAGAGGAGAGTGCTCTGGAAAGCACTTACATATGCACAATTAGTTTAATCTGAAATTAATGCTAATTTCAGCAATTTGTGATGCAGATTCACTCTTAGTACTCTAGTCCACTTCCACCATACTGAGAAGCTGAGGATGCAAAGCCTTGATGAATTCCACATTCAGGTTTCCAGGGTGTTCCTTGAGCCCCGTGTGCTGGGTTTGTCTCTGTCTCCTGCTTTGGGGTTTTATGTGGATTTTACTGCCCAGCATGGCCTGCCAGTGGCACACTGGGGCTCCTCTCTGTGCCAGGATTCATCCTTTCAGCATCACCATCCTGAGCCAGGAGCTCTGCACTAAAACTGGAGGCAGGGGACAGCTAAAATGCTGTGTAAAGAATGGTTGGGAAATGATACTAAAAGCCCTTAGCCTGAAGTGACATATTTAACTTTGTTGGATGTAGACAGGCCTTGACTCATCTGGAAGGAATGGTGGACACTTACTGCTCGAGATTTTGAAATTCTGGGAATCCTGCAAAATATTTCATGAGCTTAAAATCTTCTGTGTTCACTTTTACTAGTCAGGGTAATAAGACGGTTTTGGTGGGCAAGGAGGAGCCACGAGAAGACGATGAGCAGCGTTAGTGTGTGAGTGTGAGGCATGTTCAGGGGCTCTGCAAAACCTCATTCCTTCATTTCATCCCATCAGGATGGGTTTAGCTCAGGTTTGCATTGACATGTTCGAGTGGGACAAGACTTCTGTTCCCAGAGACTGCATCTTCAGCCTGTTGTCAGAGGAGATTTACCTGATACGCCCCAAACTGATCTGATTACACCCCTAACCTTGCACAAAATGGCATCAACTCAGCAGACTGGCTAAAGCAGGGAAGGTTTTCTTCCTGCTCCTGCACCTCCTGAAGTGTTTGCTCAGTTTCAGAGCACAAAGGCAATTATATTTTTCAAAAGCCAAGCCAGTAAAGAGAATGTAACCTTGAATGGCTCCTTGCAGGAGTAGTCACATGTGTTTTGATTAACTCAGCACCAGCACCATATACAAACAGAGCAATTCTGTGATACTCACAATTAATGGGGCTCACACCAGCCTGGGCTCTGCCTCTGCTGGTGCTTCCTTCAGCAGCCAGAGAGAGACACCTTCAGTACACAAACCCTGCAGAACCATCTCACAGCCACAGCCTGCAGAGCCCTGCAGCACCAGGGCTGGATGTATTACACTGCAAACGACCTCCAGAACATGGAGCTGTGAGTATTGTGGTTTCAGAGTGACCCACACCTCTGGGGGGGTCATTAATAAAACGTGTGGTGGATTCACACAAATTGCTTCCTATTACCCAGGAGAGGGCAGGTGGGGCTGCTGGCAGAGGAGCCAACCTGCCCGTGCTTCTGTGACTCCATTGCTGTTGGGGTGTTCCCATTGTAAGCAGCCTCCAGAAAGCAGATTCTGAACTTACTCACAGCAAAAGATAAAGATCCTCAGTGACTAAAGACCCTCCCGACTGGCAGAGTGTGCCCCAAGTGTCCAGGCTGTGTGTCCAGAGCCCTGCCCTGCTCCCAGAGCCACAGGCTCTGTGCTTTTCCCTGTCTCACTGTGTGCCTGCTGAGTGAGGATGTGCAGGTCAGAGGAGCAGGAGCCAGGTCAGAGCAGGAGCCAGGCTCTTCCCAGCTGCTCCCAGTCCCGCACAGTGTCTGATGGGTGCAGAGTGCTGAGGCCACACCAGCACAGACACATCAGGTGTGGGGAGCAAAGCTCACCTGGCACGGCAGAGCTCACCTGGAGGAGCACAGCTCCCCTGGCGGGGCAGAGCTCACCTGGCACAGCATAGTTCACCTGGGATGGCAGAGCTCACCTGGCACAGCTCCCCTGGAGGAGCAGAGCTCACCTGGCACAACACAGCTCACCTGGCAGGGCAGAGCTCACCTGGCAGGGCAGAGCTCACCTGGCACAGCTCACCTGGCAGGGCAGAGCTCACCTGGCACAGCACAGCTCACCTGGCAGGGCACAGCTCACCTGGCAGGGCACAGCTCACCTGCAGAGCTGGGGAAGGAAAGGGATGCTGGCAGGGGCTGGCCTGGGCTGAACCCTGCTGATCCTGGGTGGCCATCGTGGCTCTGTGCTGAGGGGCCTCCCCTTCACCTGGGGGGAACAGGCTGCTCCTGGTGTCCCCCCCATGTCCCTGTGTCCCCCCTGCCCATCCATGGCCACGTCTCCCTGGCCACCAGGACCCTGTGCTTGGGCCAGCAGTGGCCGTGGTGCCACATCTGGCAGGGAGGCAGCAGATGCTGCTGCTGGGGCAGGGATGGCTCAGGCTGTGTTTTCTCTCCTGGTGCTGGGGGAAATGTGGTAACAAAGCAATTGAAGCGTCTCTTCAGGGAAACGGGGATTGTAAAAGCAGACTTAATTTTGTGCTTTGCTTTGGTACCAAAGAGCTGATTTCTGAAACCATTTCCCAGCTCGCAACACATCTCTAGGCATTAAAATGTTGTGAATTTGCTTGTCATTACCAATATTTTCTTTGACTGGAGCTATTGAAACAAAGTGGTCTCTTTTTTTTTTTTTCCTATAACCTTCAATCTTGCTTCTAAAAGCAGTAGCTCTCTTTTTCTTTCTTTCTTGGTCAAATATAAAAATGATGATAATTTCAAATACTGCTTTAGAATAATTGCTTTCCTCCCTCTTTTGTATGACAACAGAAGCTTGGCCTGATCTTAAATCAGATGCTGGCAGGCAGAGGGCTCTTGACAGCCCTGTAAAATTCTTTAGTTACAAGTCGGCTTTAGCCAATTCTTTATTTGTAAATGACAATTTTCTACAGAAAAATATATGCTTGGGCTTCAATTTCAGAGCCCTAGATTGCAGCCAGGAAAAAATAATTGAATTTTTACACATTTTTTTCCTCCTCTCTTTTTCTTCCTAACTTAAAAAAAAAGAGCCCAAACAGAAAAAGTGAGGCTCTGTGAGGTGTGATTGGAGCTGATTGAGGGGAATATCTGCCCTGGTTGATGTGCCTGGCTCTGGGCACAGGAGAGATGATGAATTTGTTCTGTGCTGGGGGGATTTGGAGCTGCTCCAAGCTTTGTGTCCTCAGCCCCGGGGATGCTTTGCCTGTGGCCACTCTGGTATGGGACAGGGTGACCCTCGGTGTGGAGCAGGTCTGGGCTGTTCTCAGTAGCCTTCATAAAGGGCATCTTCAGAGTCCTTAGTGAAAAAATAATTCAGTGATAAAGCTGGCAGACACCAGGATGGATCTGTTTGCTGGGCTGTGTTTAACCAGGCAGCTCCTGGCTCTGGAAATTGGGATGTTTTTCCCTTTGGTCTCTGGGAGTTGCTGCTTCACCAGTTTCCAGAGGAAGCACATTCCCACGCCTGGGTTTGTGTGTTGGTTTCCTGAGTTAGGCAGGGTTGGCTCAAACATCTTTCCAGGCTGGCTGCTCTGAGCCCTCCCCAGCCCTTTGAGAATGCTCTGAGCCCTGTCCTGGGTCTGAGCCCTGTCCTGTATCTTGGTCCACCTGGGCTGAGTCACCGTGGCCACGGGGATCAGGTGGTTTGGGATGAGCCAAGGCCACCTGGGGGTTTGTGTGCCGGGGCTGCTCCTGCCCCCACTGTCAGGAGCTGCAGGTTGTGGCTGATGGTTCTGCTGAGGAGGATGTCTGATGGGCATCCTGCACCATCCCTTTGCCTTGTGGGGCCGAGCTCGGGCCCAGCTGGGGCAGCAGGAGGAGCTGGGGGCTCAGCTGGCCCTGGGCAGCGTGGCCAGGCTCCTCCTGCAGGGGCTGATCCAGCCCTGGGCTGGTGATTCCATGAGCTTGGGCTGTGGCAGCTGGAGGATGCTGCGTTGGCAGCCCTGGCTGTCTTTCATCATTTGATTATTTTAAAAGTAACTGTGCAAGTTCCTTTTAAACTGACCCGTGGAAACTTAATAACACATCACTTCGATTTGATGTAATTGCCTTTCGCCTGCCAAAGAGCATTCAGCCTGTCTGGAGGAAAAGGAGGGGCAAAGGCACCTCTGTTTTGAGACAGTAGCTATGAAGATACAGTGCTTGGACTCCTTTCTCACTTATATTTGCATTGTGAAGCACAATAAAAATCATTTATTAAAAAAAAATATCCGGGGGCTAGAGTTGTTATTGAGAGCCTTTACTCAGCCATCTCTCAAATAAAAACAAAACAAGACAGAGAAAGAAGTATCTAATCAAATTGAATTGGAATTGCTTTTGTAAAGAAGTATTCTCATTATCTGGGTTAGGGATGGGATCTGAAGAATATTTCTTTTTTCCACATATTGTTTGAAATAATCTGGTTAAACCATATGCTTGTCTTGTAATTTCTTACAGATGGTCACAAGAACAAAGAAAATATTTGTAGGTGGATTATCGGCTAATACAGTAGTGGAAGATGTGAAGCAATACTTTGAACAGTTTGGCAAGGTAAGTTCTGCCCAAGTGAGCACTGCATAGTTGTTCTTTCTTCCCTTTCTTTTTAAAGTGTGTTTTGAAAAACAAAAGTGCATTGAGGACTGAGCTCAAAGGAGGGCCAGGTTTTTGCCTTTCCATGTCATTTCTTGAGGCCTCTGGGATTCCTTTTCTGTTTGTTGCTTGTGTGTACAACATTGCCAACACTGTTTACTTCCACTAAAGAAAAAAGCATCACTGGGAGGTGAATCTGTGCCTGTTCAGGAAGAGTCTGACCCTTGGCTGAATGATTACACAGTTGTCTTCTCCATAAAATCAGCCTTCTGTTAGCCCCAATTCCAGTGGCAAAGAGGGCACATAGATGTATTGGAAAGCTCATTAATTTGTGAAAATGCCTGAAGGAACCATGTGAAAAGCAAGAGTAATGTGGAAGTCACTAGAATGTCCACTTAATTTCTTACTAGAAAATCCTTCTGCAAGCATGTATAGAATACTGGCATCATGGAAAAAAAAAAAAAACAAAACAACAAAAAAACCCCTCACCAAAACCCCAAAACAAACAAGTTTATGGAGAGGAGATCTGGACCTTGCCAGAACAGTCTTTGGTGTGATGTAAGAGCACAGACCCCACTGTCCAGGCTTGGGCTGGAGTTCAGTGACTCTGACCTCCATGGAGCTCCCTGGATCCCCACAGATTCTGCACCTTTGTTCACGGCTGCCTGCTCTGGCAGCAGTTTGTGGTTCCACCTTCTGCCAGCCCCACTGCCCACAGCACTCCCTGGGTTGCAGCTCCATGGATTCCAGCCCAGCAGCTCCATCCCTGTCTCTTGGAGTGCAGCAATTGATGTTTTAGATGTAAGATTGCGTGAGGACACAGCAGGGTATCCCAGAGCAAAGCAGCTCCCATTCCTTGGAGTCAGTTTATGTTTCTTTTATCTGCCCTGAAAAGCCTGAGCCAGGCAGGATTTTGTTGAGGGCTGAGGAGGCGAGTTTATAAATGGTTCCTGTGCTGGATTGATAGTTGTTTTGCAAACCAGTCATTTTATTTTCAATAATAATCTTCGATTCCGGCAGGATGTTTACAGCCTGCTGAGCCTTTTATTAAAGGATTACATGAGCTCTTGGATGGTTCTTCTGTAGTTACTTCTAATTGCAGAACTCCACTAACCTGTATTTTTCAAGTTAATAATAGTTTCAATATAAGTGCTTTGCATATTGTCTGGATGTTGTCTTAATATAGTCTTCTTAATTTCACCATCTGGTAGTTTCATGCTTGCAATTTTACAGTCCCTGAGAATGCAGCAGCCAGGCTGTGTCTCAGGAGTGACTGGGGATTCGGGATGCTTTGGTTCTGCTTCCATGCTCTGCCATTCTTGAGACAGCTTAGCAGAGGTTTGCCTTCCCAAAGGCAGTACTTTGGAAAAATCGAGTGTTTTTTTTTCAAGTGTCTTAATTTTTCAGGCTAAAAAATGTAAGGAGCTGGAAATGGCTCAAGCTGGGATCAAGGCAGGAGCCCATTCCCATGTCAGCACAGCTGGGCTTGTCCCACTGAGGAGCTGAGCTCCTGCAGCACTCAGGCTTTACAAGGCTTGGTCCCTGTCCCTGCTGGTGACTGTTCCACAGCCCCTGTGCCAGCTGGTGAGAGTTTGGTGGAGCTGCTGCTGTTTGGAGCAGGGGCTGTGTGGCTGTGACTGAGCCTGGCTGCAGGTGTTGGGGCTCCCCATGGCACTGCTCCTCATCAGCCTGGACACTTTGGGTTTGGGGTGTTCTGAGGTGATTCTCCTCCAGGCTCTGCTTGTCAGGATTGTGTTTAACGACCCTTAGAAATGGGGAGTTGTGGTTCAGCTGAGTTAGAAGATTCGTGGACGTGCCGTGGGCAGTGGGTTCTGTGTTCAGAGCAGTGACCCAGGGCTGTGCTGCAGCACTTGGCAGGAGTCCCTCCTTCATCCCCCTTCCTGCCCCTGCAGGACTGAGCACACAGCCATGCAAACAGGGATCCACATCGACTGGCCAGCTCTGCCTCTGCCTAGAGCTTTCTTAAAATAAAGCAAATTGCATCACACAATTAATGTGTGAGGAGCCGCCCGTGTTTGATAAGGGCATCTCAGGTGATTTGCTCTTTGAAATGTTGAGCTTATTTATTGGCGTGGAAAAAATTGCTTACCAACGGCTGCAGTTCCTGAAATCCTGTTTGTACTTGCTGTGGAGAGGAGCTTTGCAGCCAGGGGAGGTTGTTTTGGTGACTGGAGGTGGCTCTCAGAACACAGGATGTGGGGACAGCAGCTTTGGGGCCAGGTGGGCTCGCTCGTGTAACTGGAGTTGGCAGGAAAGGGGTAAAGTGTTGAATTTGAAACTGCAGCTTTTTGAAAAGTCAGTGCCAGAATTTGGTCTCCAAGAGAAGGAAAAGCTTTAGTAGACCCACCATTGAAAAGTGCCTGATGATACAGCACCAAAGCATGTGGTAATGATAATTCCTGAAATTGAGCTTGTAAGATTTCTCATAGTGATTTTTTTTTCTCTCTGAAAAAGCCCAGGGGTCCCACATTTCCTTTTGGGAAGGAAATCTGTAAGCTGTGGAGGAAAACTGGGGAAAAGGACTCGAGTGAAGCCAAAAGCCATCCCAGAATGGGCACAGAACAGTGTAATGAACTTGTGACTGCCTGGAGCTGCTGAGGCTGGTCCTGTGCATCCTGTGCACCTGCAGTTGTTGTGGGGCTCCCCAGAGAGGCTTGGGGGGGGTCTGGGTGCTGAGGAGGGGAAGGAGGGAACAGAATCCACGGAGGACATGAGAAGGCTGAGCTGGGAAAACACCAGACTAAGCCATAAGCATTTACAATCAGAAGAAGAAAAAAACCAACCCATTGTGTTACTCCCGATCCTGACAGTCTAATGCAGTTTGTGGGATCCTCTCCTATTTCAGTCAAAGATGTTTCCCACATTCTTACAAAACGAAATGAATTTCCTGACCATGTTGCCCCATCTGGGCTCTGCAGCATTGCCCTTGTGCTAGGGGTGAAAAGCTGCTGAGACCAGGCTTTAAAATAATTTAAATGAGAAGTGCCAGAGCTGGGGACATGCAGGGGGAGCTCAGTGGGGCTGGCATCCCTCCATCCCTCCCCTCTGGAGAGGCCGTGGTGCTGCTGGGCTGCAGATCTGCCTTTTTCTGGCTGTCTGGAGGGGTAGGAAGGGTGGAGCTCTGAGACTGGGACATGCTGGAGCATTTAAGGCATCATTTTAAAAAGGAAAGGAAGCCACAGCAGGCTCCTCAAGCCTCTCCTGGAGCCCTGTGAGCAGCAGGGGAAGGCTCTGGGTGCTGCTCTCAGGACCTGCATGTCCTGCACCTCCAGGTGCTGCCCAGGTGCTGCTCCCTGCACAGAGCTCGTGTGAGAACAGCCCAGCCTGCACCTTGCAATTCCACTTCACATGGCCAACTGTGTAATTAGTTTGGAAGACTTATGCCTAGTCATTGGTTTATCCTAATCGGCTTTGGCTTTTCCCAACAACAAAGTGAGCTTATTTTCCTAAGCTGAAACAACTCTGCTCCCTTTGTTCCTCTCTTTTATTGTCTCATTCCTTTCATTCTGTTTTACTGCCAAAGTTTTGTTTCATTAGGCCTACAAGTCATTTCCAATCCAGTGGGCTGCTACAATAAGGCCTTTATAACTCAGCTGCCCTGGTTCCCATGTCCCTTCTGGTCCGGAGCCAGCACTTGCTGTTTGACATGGGATTTTAACCCTTTGGCTGCCCCAGCTCCTGGTGGGGCTGAGCCCCTGATGAGCTCCTGGATCCTAATGATGGTGTGAGGCCATTAATGGCTCCAGGTAACGAGTTCAGGCCCAATTATGGAGACAGAATTCCGAGTAAAAACCTTCTTACTGTCATGAGTCGTGGTGGGAACAGTCCTTGGGATGAAAAGGCCGCTGTGTCCTTGCAGCAGGGTGGGAACAGAGTTGTGCTGAAGGTGTGTTCCAGTGTCCTGAGCTGTTAGATCAGCACATGTAGGGCTGTTCTTGTAGAAAAAGCATGTTTTCTTATGTAGGGGAGAATACAAATTTAAATTTATCCTTTTTTGAACCAGAGTGGTGATGTTTGAAGATGTGTGAAGTGGTTTTGTGGACAAACAATATTTTCCATATTGCTATTTCAGACTGCTGGAGGTGCAGGTGGTGGTGGCCCCAGATGTTTCACTTTCAACCTGAGAGCATTGGCTCTTCAGTTTTCCTTTCACAGTAATCCTAAAGTGACTTTCAGAGAAAGGGGCTCTGGCACTTGTTTTTTATTTTAAATTTCCAGATGAAATTGGACCAGACCAGCATGCATTAATTTTGTTTTCTGTCCTGGCTTGCTGCAAGGTCCCTCAGACCTGTCATAGGCATGTTTCAGCTTCACTTGGAATATGTTGTTTCCTCAGGAATGGCTTTTAAGATTTGGAAATTTTGAGACAAGACAGGATTTCTGAATTACCTCTGTGGATTAGAAATGTTTTGTACAGTCACTAGTTATTTCCTGTGAGATGCAGAACAGACCAGTGGAATAATAATAATAATAATAATAATAATAATATCTGGATTCTGAGTTGGGTTTTTTTTTCTGTGAAACTGTTGAGCTTTTGAAACCTCTCCCTTCTGTAGCCTGACTCTGGTACCTTCTCACACCTGTCCTGGTCCAGGCACACCTCCATGGTGCTGGAAGCTGTAAACAGCAAAACGTGAGAATGAGAATTTCCTCCTTTGGTTGTACCATGCCCTGATTTATATAACATGGACCGTGGTGCAAATAACAACCAGTTTAACCTTATTAAAAATAACTTTTGTGATGAAGTCCCTGTGCTTTCTCTGCAAGTGTGGCAGGAGGGGAGCAGTGGGATCCACACTCAGGATTTCAGCCTAATCGGGTGGTTTACATAAATCACTTCCTCCGTGCTCTCCTCCCTGACATCTGTGAAAATACAAATCAGGAGAAGAGCAGAGAAAACTCCTCCCTGTTTGGCCAGGCTGCTGGCTGGGAATGAGTTA